TTTTAAGCTGAAATGTTTGAAGAACTAATGCCAAAATGGAAATTGTCAAAAGAAGATGGTCAGTCCTTATTTAAGTATAGTATTTTGTATCAAGTTACCCTTGTAACTAGCCATGTTCCTATGCCAATTTCATACTGTATACAAAGTTCAAATCCCAATACATACTGTCATAGCTAATGAATTTATGCAGCCCATTGTCACCAGTGAGTCACAGTTGTTCGCTCTCAAGTCATAGGATTGCCGTTTGGAAAGAGCCCATGTTGTCCACTCTTTGCATTCTGTGTGTGATGTCTATTTTCTCGTATTATGAATAGTTCATTCTCCAGAAGGTGACAGTGCAGTGTGTGAGACAGGTCACAAAACTGGGAGTCCATAGGAGGCAGACGCAAAATGCATATTTATGCCAGTTAAGCCTTGAGACGCTTTAGAACAAAGATAATATTACTCAATCAGTGAGAATCAGTATGATTCTTTGGTTTATATGTGTTCTGCTCATTCATTTCATGGGCGTTGATAATACGAAATGTAGGGATTTGGGAAAGAGTTCTGAAGCAAGAGGATTCTTTGCTACAAATGTAGCATTTTTCGTTAGATTTTAACCTTCAGAAATTTACGAAGTCAGACATATAAGGTTGAAATATTAATACAAGTAAATTCAGAATAAACTGTACCAGCTTCTGAGTGAGAATGTAAGTCACTATAGTGAAACCTCACTAATTTGGAATTCACGATAATTCAGACAATTTATTTTTTGGTTCAATTCAACCTCAATCACATTGTCACTACCAAAAATTGTAAGACTGATATCAAAACTTTCATTTTTACATTTTATGAGAAGTACATTTATTTTACGATATTGAATCTAAGTTTCAAAATAAATTTTTATTGCCTAAAAAGGCACTTGAAGTAAATTTTATGACTTCCCTGAACATATTTTCAGTAGCACTTGTATAATTTGGGCTTTCACTAATTTTTGACAAGGGTACACATCCAAGTAGTCCAAATCAGCGAGGTCTTGCTGTAAATTATGTATAAAGTTCCCAAGGTTTATTAAGTGTTGCAATAAGAGTATGCACCACTACAGTGCATTGAAAACCCTGTGTTCTTACCACAGACAGGGTAAAGTGATCTGTCCAGTTCTTCCTATGATAACAATCACTATCTACAATTACTGTGGTGATCTGCAGTGTCATTTATACCTTATATTTAATGTGTGGAATTTATAAAATCCAGATCAGCATCAATTCCAGAATGAGACATGAAATAGAGTCAGTTGCAACTACTGAAACTGTTTAGTCCAGACTGAATCGTGTCTTGAGGGTCTAGCTAGTCATCTGAATCAGTTTCCTGAGGCCAGGCACCTTGCTATTAAGATAAAACACACGCAACACACAACCCCCCCCCCTTTCCATGCTTGCTGGGCAGAGCTAGAGGTGCAGTTGCGGTTGTGAGAGCTGATTGGCCATCGCCCACAATGCCTTCCGGGGGGGGGAGCGAGTGCTGTATAAATACGACCGTTGGTCGCAATGTTACATTGACTTGGCTCGAGCAGAAGTTGAATGTTCTCTGTTAGACTGGCAAAGCTGCATGTTAGAATGTGAGTAATTTGTTCAGACACAGATCTTGTAAGTGATGTAAAATCACAGTTTCATTCTTTATGATATTGTAAAAGAAGTTTTCAGTGAAATGATGAAATTATCCAAAATGGTGGTACAATACGTATTATCATCCACTTCCACTAACTTAATGGTGCTGAGTCCCTGAAAGAGTTGCTCAACTAGTTAAGAAATTGCTAACCTCTGTAGGAGCCAAAAGTCATTACTATGTTCACAAGAGTCTTTCAGTGGTCCCTCTCTTCAGCCACATGAGTCCTGTAAACACCCTTCTGCTCCTGTTTCTTACTAGTTATGTTATAAATTACAGATACAATGCTGGGCAGCATATTGTAAATAATTGTTTTCTGTTTACTTTGCAGAGGCGTCCTTGTGACAGAGTTGTAAAAGGAGATGGAAGAGCTCACTAGAAAACGGGTTTATGAGATGTTTGATTAAGTCTGTAGTGTTGGTACAGGGTCCTTACTTTTGTCCTCGTTTGGTATGCATGCTTAATATATACAGAGTGTTACAAAAAGAGCTTTACACTTTGAGAGCTTATATAAATTTGTACAGAGGACTTACACAACGTTTTGAACTGTCATAACGTAGCAAAACACACCGAGTTTCCAGCACGTGGTACTGTAGTACCCAATACCGCCACCGCGAGCGCTCCCGCAGTTGAAATCAAGATGGCTACCTTCACAGGTGCAGAGCGTGTTCGTTGTGTGTTTTGGTTCGAAGAAACTAAGTCTGCAACACAAGTTCAAAGGAAATTTCGCACTCAGTATCGCAAGGAACCTCCCAGTAGGCCTACAATTTACTCCTGGCACAAGAATTTTATTCAGACCGGATTTTCTGTCCGCCATGCCAAGTCACCCGGTCGGCCACGTGTTTCTGACGCTACAGTGGAACAGATTAGGGAGAGCTTCGTTCGAAGTCCACGAAAGTCAACGCCACGTGCGTCTCGGGAAACTGGTATTCCAAATGTTACTGTGTGGCGAGTGTTACGAAAACGTTTACACTTGAAATCGTACAAACTATCCATCGTTCAACACCTTACGGTTGCAGATAAGGTGGTTCGTAAGGAATTCTGTATGAAAATGTTTCATCGGATGCAAGACGATGAGAAGTTTCTGGACTCCGTAATTCTCAGTGATGAGAGCACGTTTCATGTCAGTGGTAATGTCAATACCCACAACTGCAGGATCTGGGGCAACGAAAATCCACGTGTCGCCCTGGAACATGTTCGTGATAGCCCAAATGTGAACGTGTTTTGCACCCTCAGCAAAGAAAGAGTATACGGCCCCTTCTTCTTCATGGAGACGACCATTACCGGTATCGCATATCTGGACATGCTCCAAGAGTTCCTCATTCCACAGTTAGACGAAGATGTCCAAGAAGGACGCATTCACTTCCAGCAAGACGTCGCACCCCCTCATTACCTTGGAGAAGTGCGCGAGTACTTCAACACCCTTTTCCCAGGTCGGTGGATTGGTGGAGGGGCGCCGATAGCATGGCCACCTCGTTCCCCGGATCTTACTCCCCTGGATTTTTTCTTATGGGGATTCGTTAATCTATACTGCAGACTTGCCCACAAAAACAACACTACAATTGCAACTTTTGCAGATGACATAGCCCTGTTAGCAGCAAACAGTGATCCAGTAGTGACATCACAGCATCTTCAACATCACTTAAAACTCCTCCAGCAATGGGACAGGAAATGGAAAATCAAAATAGACCAGACAAAATCAGTGCAAGTTACATTCACCACGAAACGCATAACTTTCCCGCCGGTTACCATCAACAATATGCGAATATGAGTTAAACTCGAAGTAAAATACTTGGGATTTTACCTCGATCCGAAACTGACATGGCAGAAACACGTCAAAACAAAGCGTCAGAAATTAAATTGGAAACTATGAGAAATCTCCTGGCTTTTGGGCCGTAAATCCAAGCTATCCATAGAAAACAAACTTCTACCATATAAGCGAATAATGAAACACATATGGACATATGGTATACAGCTGTGAGGCTGTACAAAGCCATCGTACAAAAAATAATTCATAGACTTCAATCCAAATTCTTCCGCTCAGTAGCTAAACACCTTGGTATGTCTCCAACTTTACTATCTACAATGATTTGCAAATCCCGTTCGTCACAGAAGAAGTACATAGATTGTCAACTAGGACACAATAACAGACTAGTTGTAGAAATTAGGAACCTACCAAATGCAAATAACAATATAAACACATAAGAAAACATAACATACGTAAGATAGTAATACGAATATTTGTATATTACAGATAACAGTGCTGAAAACAAGAAGTAGCCCCTGCAACACTACAGACATAGGGCGAGTAACCCTGAGAATTTTAATGTTTAAAACAATTTTAAATTAGAACTGAAGATTTTAAAAGTGCCGGTTCATAATATCAAAATTTACGAGTGTAGGCAACAAAGATAATGCGCAAAGCAGACAGATATCAGCGAAGTAGATTCTGATAAATCGAAACCCGTCGGTAACGACGGAAAGAACAATTGTGAAGACTTATGGTTTTAAATTTTAAACTAATAACAGCTACGTAAGTGCATACAACTGATGATGGCCGTTTGCGGCCGAAACATGTAGTGTAGAAGAGGGCAAGACAAAAGAACTACAATAAATTGTTGCACTTGGGACGGTGTTTATGTCATATATCGTATAGAGTGCAACGGGATGCTTAACTATAATATTGCAAAAAGAAGATTCAGGATACAGTGGCCATCTGACCGGTCTGACCTTGTTGTGAAACAAGAACTCGAGTGGCGTATTCTTCCGACATCCCTTTATTATTCAACGCCGTAGCTACAATTCAACATAACTATAGCATAAAATGTTGATCAAGTAGTTTCACAGTCGGTTCTTTCGTGTTAACTGCTCTCACTAGTATGTCGAACTGTCCGTGCTGACTAACCACTGGCTTCTATCAACACACTGCCCTCTGTCGGCTTCCACTTCCACGGCTCCGCTTGTTATACATCAAATCGGAAAAGTGGGAAACCTCCCCTCCAGCACCACATCTACTGTTACGTCACAGCGGGAAGTGTTTACTGTCTCGTTGCCTAGCACAGTTCCTCTTTTTTGCGTCACAGCGGGGAAGTGTTTACTGGCAACGTGTGCGTTATCGCGTCCACGATTTCCAACAGACCTAGCACAATCCGCAGGTAAGGAAGATAACTATATGTGTATACTAACATTATCTTACAAGAGACTTGAAAGTATATGCTGTGAAACAAGGGGTTCATACCTAGGTCGGACTGCTGAGCACTACCAGCGGTGAAATAATCCGTGAGAAGTGTTTGGTTTGTGACCTGTGTCCATAGACATCTGTGACGTCCGTGACTGTGGTAGAACGCCATTTTCTATATTGTTGGGCTGAAAGGGAGTAGAGGAGTAAGCTATGGTATGTTAATGGAAATTTGAGACTATAGTAGGTGCGTTGGAGGAAGTGCAGTCACAATTTCCAAATGCAAGTATGTCTGGAGGAAAGATGGTTGTGTCTGAAGTGAAAAGTATGGCTGAAGATGAGCCCGAAGAGGGTGAAATCCAAGATGATGATGGTTCATTAGAGGACGTAAGCTCCGATGAAGATGTGTCATCTGTTTGCCGCAAGAGAAACCGTGAAAGATTTTATGGCAATAAATTTAATGTTTACCATGTCAGGACGGAGTATGCAGCTCAGTCGTCTCGTCCTCACAATAGCAGTGCCCATAAATCATATAAGCGTAAACGTGTCTCTTCCATTATAGAGGAAAATCAGCAGAGGTTAAGTCCTGTAAAATATAGAAAAGAAACGAATAAATCTACTAATGGTGTTTATCATGTGGCTTTGAACACCGTTGCTGTAGATGATCGCAGAAAGGAAAATAATTTTGTTGATAGGCTGAATGAATATCAATTCGTTATGCCTAAGCAGGATATCAAGGACGAAGGTGAGTTATAGTTCAAAGGAATGAATGTTGGTCGATTTTGTGTTGGAATCTAGTGGTGTTAATATGCCAGTGCTATCACCTTAACGTGAGCATCAGACCCAGAGGTGTCTTTATATGTGACTCATTTGTAAAAATTATTCAGAATGGGTAGAAAGAAACTAATTCAGTAGTCTGATCGATAGCTTGTCATTCCGGTTTCAGTTCATGAAAGTGTTGTGTGTCACCATCACGTGCAAGGTGTACCAGTCAGTTTTTCATGTTTAAGCAATATTACCATGTTGATTTCTTTAGATGAATTCAGCAAGGTAAGAATGGAAGCTAAGAAAAAATAAGTAATTTACAGTTTCTGGAGTGAGTTGGAGACATCAGGATGTAACATCTCTTCTCACTCGCTGTTTTGTTATTGGCATATTTTAAAACTAGTGCAATATGTGTTACTTGTTTTTCACTTACATCTAGTGCATGAAGTATTCTTTGATCAGTGCATACAGCTTTACTAGTAAAAGTAATGCATATTTATCTTATATTTAGCATAGGTTTAGATTTTTCTTAGAAATCTAAACTCAAATATTGTAACAAGATAGTTCTTGTTTGGCCAGTTTTTTTAAAAAGGGCTGAGTATTGTTTGTTAATTGCATGCAGTATCATAATGCTATCTTATGTAGAACAGAGGGATTGTTAAGTCTTCAGAGTATGCATCGTATTGGGAGCTGAGTAGCTTATTTGGTATTGTGACTGGACTGCAGGGTAGATGATTTAGAAGTCATGGTTTGATCATTGGCAGGATGAGATTTTTCTCTTCACAGCAGTCATACTGGCCCTAGTTTCCACTGAGCCCATTTTCACTGGGTACCTGTATCTGTTTTCCTGGGAGTAAAGTGGCCAGGGTGTGAAGTTGATCACTCAACTTCTGAGGTTAAGAATGCACGTTCACTCCCACACATGTCTATGGTATAGTGCTTAATTAAGGTTGTAATTACTGTAATTGTGTTATATATCTTAGATCAGCAGTTCTTGAACTCATTTGATATGAGCCTCTCTTGGTGTGAATAAAAGAGTTCGAAGCCACACATCATATAAGAATGACTTAAATTATGATTTGAGAATTTCAGAATCGATAAACTAATGAATATTAAAGATGTTAAGGGGTACTTTTCCATTACATTGTGCATTTGTGGCCTTTTAGGATTAAAATCTGGTCAATGTCAAAATTAATTGAACATGTGTTATTGATTCTTTTTTCTGTGGGTCTTAAGAAAAGCTTCACAGAGGAAATGTTCACTGTCTTAGGTAGTACTATCGTGATCACATATTTCCAGTTTTCTCTCTTCCAGTACTTCAGTTCCCTTCCTTTGATGCATCAATCATAATTGTCATTATTACTGATGTGCTTAGTATTGCCCCACTGTGTGAACCAAGTCTGTTAAGTTTATGAATCCATAAGATGCAAAAAATGAAGATATGTATGTGTGTAGCACAGTGCTTAGAGGACGTGCAAGAGACGTGGGGCTGCTACCTCACATTGAACTGAGATGAGCAGTTATTTTACATTCTTTGTGGGTTTCCTGCAGAACGCTTTGCTGTTTGGATAGGCATCAGATGAAAATCTTGATGCTTTTGTGTAGGAACTGAATCAAGGTCATTTAGTAAGTGTTTTTACTGACTGGGTTCTAGTTCCAAACATTTAGGTCGTGAATAGAGTGTCTTTCTTCTTACAGTTGCCCCAATGTATATTGTAACATTAGCGGAAAACATGAAATTTTTTGGCAAGAGTAAATAAAGAATTTCTGTTTGGACAGAATGTCATCATGAAGAATGACATGGTAAAGCAAGTAAATATTCAAACATCAATATCATCACTGAATTAACAGGAATTGAACTTCAGTAATTGTTGCCTGATCCATGCTTTTGCAGTCCATGGTCTGAAAACCTCTCGTTAATTCATTTGAGCACTTTGGTGAAGGTGTCACGTGCTTCCTGCAAAAGATCTGTGTGTATATGTTTGGATCTACTTCACAACAAGCCCATAGTCCAACAGACAGAACCCACTCAGGTCACAACAGAAGCCAGAGATGCTGTTTGTTGTTACACATACATTCCAAGCACGACCATAAAAAATCTTGAAACATGGTATACCTGGAACGTGAAGCCGTAAACCCCAGTTTTGTGTACAAAATGCTGTAAGAGATTATTGAGAGTAATGTTTAAGCCTAGTACTGATTTTAGGACAACACCCATGTGGAGGCGGAGTCGAATACCTCCACCGTGACCCTGCGAGTCGTAGGAGGCGACGAAAAGAGCAGTCTCAAATGTGAGACAGTAAAATATGGTCACAAGTACCAAGGGACTTGGACCCGAGAAAAACTGTGCTGCCAAGGACCAGCAGCATATACAAAAGACAGACCCGTCCTCTCATCAGAGAGGGCACCCAACAGAAACAAGACCGTAACTGTCAAAGAGTAATAAATATTGGAGCTCAGAACCAAGACTTACTGACTGACTGACTGACTGACCGACCGACCGACTGACCGTCAGTCGCCATGTGACTTTGACTTAGGACATGTTTTCTGAATTTCAAACTGCAATGAAGATGCTTCAGTTTCATTGTTAATTAAATTCCACATAAACCAAGTTTCTTTCTCAGGGACATTTGTGAACTTTCTGATGGTTGACAGTTGATAATGTACTGTTTTGGAATCAACTAAAGCTTACCACTGGATACTATCTTGAGTCAATCAATTAAGCTAATGACATTTTAGTACAAAGTTCAGAACACAGGTACCTCTTAGACAACTGTTATGCCGTTAAGAGGCATAGTTAACTGATTTGCTTAGTTGTCTTAAGCACTCATGCTACTGACATGGATTTCTGAAGTTGAACATATAAATAAGTGAGAGCTCTGTCTTCTGGGGTATAATGCCATGTAGTTCATTGGAAGCCAGCTGATATTTTGGAGGAATATGACACCTCCATCTTCAGGTTTATAGAATAAGTCAAGCAAGAAACCAGCATGAAGGCAGCTGGAAATCAAAGCTCTCACTTTCAACTGACTGTGTGGCGTTAAATCCCAGAAGATATAACTCTTCATAACTAATGCTGTGAGAAGATCAGGTCCTACAAATAAACGTGATTTTATTCCCCTCTGTATTTTGCTTTCAGATATTGTTCAAGAGAAGGAGAACAGAAGTGACTGCCAGAAGGAAACCAAAGTTAAAAGAATGATTAGGAGAAAACAACGGCATTCTCTCTTAAACAGCCCTGAGCCAAGACCATCAATATCCAGTGATATCAAGACTGACTCTAATAGGATAATAGGACCAGAAGAAGAGGAGAGAAAGAAAAAAGATTCATGTACAAAATTAGGAACAAAATCTAAAAGTTCACATTCTAAGAAGAGATGTTATTCTCCTAAAAGAGAGAAACATCGGTGCTCAAAGAAGAAAGATGGTAGGAAATACTTGAGCAAAACGATTGAAAAGAGTGATTGTCCTGGTAATGGAGCCCATGGAAGCAGCTTATTGATGAGGCTGCAAGCAATGATGACGGTAAACATGTCAGCCAGAAAGGAAAGAACTCCTGTTGTAAGTGTAAAGAAAAAAGATGAGGACATTGTTAAAAGCCAGGAATTGGACAATGATTTGAGGACAAATTCATTGCCGTCTCTTGACGCAATGAAGTTGGACGATGAAAATGAGAAAGATTGTTCAGAGAAAGCAGAGATTGTGGGTGAGACAAATCAGAACCATCTTTCTGGACAAACTGAAGACATTAAGGAGTTGCCTGATACTAGGAAGAATGAACCATTGGTTATTACAATAGAAGACAGTGACAGTGAGTTATCAGTGCCTGCCAAGATGCTAGAATATGACTCACCAGAGAAAGTAAATAAGAAGGGAGAAATGAAAGCAGTTGAAAGTGAAACAGGCACAAAAGGAACAGAGTATGAAGAAGAAGATGAGGATTTAGTCCAGCTGCGCCTTCTTGCTTTACAATCCCACCGCCGTAAAGAGACTTCAAAACCAAGGGTGGAAGATGATGAAGTTATGCAGTTACGTTTGGCAGCTCTGAAATCTGCTATCATAAAGAAATGTCAAGTTAGAAAACAGCGTGGGATTACGTTAAAATCAAAGAAAATGAACGCACTAGACAGTCCTGGTCTTTCAGATCTAGAGAAGAGTAACATCAAAGATGACTTAGGTGAGGAAATACTGAGACCAGAAACCGCTTCCATGGAAGCTGTCCAAGGTGAACCAGACGAGACTACTGCCCTTGTGGATATGGATCTCTCCCACACAGATGATGAGTCAGAATCACAGAGTGAGATGATTATTGGTCCTGTTGATATACCCTTGCCTGGGAATTGTGAAAGTAAATTTTTACCATTAATCCCTGAAGATTACAGTACACAAAATGTACCTTGCATTAATGTGCCATTGGTGAAGACGGTTCATGAAGATAACCTTGTGCATTTAAAAGGGGATCAGAAGGATGATGTGGTGAACGCATGGAGCCCTGCAGTTACAATGTATAGCAGTCCTGACTTGGAAAGCTGTCAGCTGTCAGGAACGTACAACAGTAATGTACAGATTCCTTCACTGAATTCAGTTGGTTATTCCAACTCTCAAGTACAATTTCCCTCATCATCACCATTTCCACAGCAGCAGTTATATCATGAGTTATATCAAAGTGATAACAGTTTTGATCATCCAAGTACACACCTAGATGTTACTACTTCAGAGACTAATACATTTGACCTGTGTGCATCAACTGGCGTGCCTGGTTCATTTGTGTCATCAGATGTAAACTCATCAAGTTTTACTTATGATGCAATGTCGGTTTCTATGGTGGAACCACACATGGTCAGTGCAAATACGTTTATTGCCAGAACGGAGTCTCCATTTCTGGAAACTAATTCCATAGGACTGGACATTCCTCGAGCAAATTCTGCTCCTGCCACAGAAGATCCACAATTTCCTGGAATAAGTTCCATCACACACAGAACAGACCCCGAGGTCCCAGGAACAGATTCTGTTACCCCTGTGCAGTTTCGTGCAGTGGATTGTGGAGCTGGTTCTTGTCAGAATAGAGTCAGGATCAGGAACATACACATGGATTTGAAGAATAGTGTATCTTTGAAGAAATTGCCACCTGCCACACATATGAAACCAACAGGCAAGGCTGAAAGTGATCCTAGTGCAGTGTGTGCAGTGCCTACAGGTCTGTTTTCTTCTAGTCTGAATCCTCAGAATCAGGAATTAAAGAGAACAAATGCAGAAGATCTTTGTCGGAATTGTGTGTCAGTACCTGCCAGAGAAACTGTTGAAAACAGAGCAGATTGCAGTGTCCAAGAAAATTCAAGTGAACCGGAAAATATAGACCTCTCCAGTATGATTATTTTGGATGAGGTTGGCCAGTGCTCCTCACCAGAGACTAAAGTGGAAGTCTCCAGTGAACCAGTTGCATCGAAAAATGAAGGCATGTCTCGACAGTGTGACAAGAGCTCATTGAATGTGGATGAAGATGAAGAAGTGTTGAGAGCTAAAGTGTTGACAACACTAGCAAGGAAACCTTCCACATCTGCTGCATTTTTGACAAGTAAACCCAAAAATGTAAAAGATAATGCAGTTTCTGACACCTCAAAAGTGTCTTCGAAGCAACAAATTGAAACCAGTGCTCACTCACTTCCTGTTTTGCCTAACCACATATCACCAAGCAGTAGTAACAGTGTACAGCCTGTACAGAAAACTTCAGTTAGTCATAAAAAAGGAAAAATGCCATCTGAGCTTTCAGTTTCCCTGCATGAATTGAAACAATGGAATAATGTTTACCAGCGAGTGCCTAATAAGAAGGTAGAGCATTCTCAGAGCAGTCTATCCAATTATAACAAGGGAAATATCATTAGAACAAAATACTGGAAGAGGTCAGTAAAGAAAGGGTTCTCAGGATCAAACACAAAGCAGATATTGACAGTAGTACATAGGAATCCTGTTCCTATGAAGCAACTTACGGGACCTTCAGCTGTTGCAAGAAAGGATCCCCCAAACATGGATCTGGAACTGAAGACCAGAACTGCACAATTTAAACCTGTTGATAATACTGTATCGAGAGTTGTGTTCCGCCCCCGGGTACCTAAACCAACTATGATTCAAGTGACTGTGCCAACAACAAATGTTGATGATAAACAACGTAAAAGAAAAATTGCAGCAAGTGTTGTAAGTTCAGTGGCACCTGTACAGCCAGCAGCACAGAGGTTTGTGATACGTTTGGGGGACGATTCAGATAGTCCAGATGAAGAGGAGAAGATACATCCGATGTCTCAGACCCCTAAACGAAGATGTGTGATAAAAAATAACTCTTCTCTTTCACTGTGGCCTGTATCGTCTTCAAATGTTCGTACTGCACCATGCGATCAAGTTGTGAATTGTGACAGTAATATTGCTTCATCATTGTCACATCCATTGTCTGATAAACAGAATACAGTACCAGTACTGACACAGCATGTCACAGTTTCTAGAATAGCGGATGATTTTGAAAAAAGTGTGGACATATTTTTGAAGCAGCAACGGAAATCACAGGAGGCTACAGCAAAGGAGATGCCAGACGAAAATGTGGGAGGGAAAACAAATCAGGTGGTCTCATCTGCTACACCACTGGTAAGAAATATTTTCATGTCCATGAGCTGCGTTCCCTCTTATGTTACTAGTATGTGACAATAAGTTTTTCTCTAAATAATTTAGGTTGTTAAAATTTTATAGAAATAATCTTTTATTTACTCACTCTTTTCACTACTAACTTCATTGAAAAGTTTACGTGTATTCCACTGTAATTTTAAGTTAAGCTGTTAACCAGTAGTACCTAGCATGACAGTGTAGTGACAGTGCTCCAGACTCATATTCTGAAGGTGCTGAGTTTAAATCTTTGCCAGGACACCAGCTGTTCTGGACTGATATCTTATGGTTTTCCTCACTACCTCCAGGCAAACACCAGAATAGCATCTCCTTCCAAATCCTTTACAATTTGTTGTTCACTAGTCATCCTGTTTGATGCTGTGCAGTCAGTATACTGATGGCATTATAAAATAAACCACAGTCAAAGATGAAGTTTGCACATTTACGTATCTTGTATGGGAAACATTATTTTACACGATAGTTAGGTTTTACCACATACTGAAAATGTTGAGCCCAACAAAGATGAACATTTTGCAGTTGTGGTATTCTGAGCATGTTACATGTGCGTGACAGTAAATGTCATATGTTAGTGGGTGAACACAAGTTTTGGGTTGATAATTTGAATTTATTGGATGTTTATAACTTGTAGCTCGCACGCTCACTCACTCACTCTTGGAGCTGAGCCATTCTTGAGAAGCCACCAGTTGTGCAGCTACTCAAGAACTCCCAAGCATTTTATGGGACCCAGAGGCACATTACTGTGCTCACAAGAGCTCTACTGGTTCCTATCCTGAGCCAGCTCGATCCAGTCCACACCATCCCACCCTCTCTCTCTAAGATCCATTTTAATATTTTCCACCCACTTATGTCTTGGTCTTCATAGTGGTCTCTTTCTTTTGGACTTTCCCACCAATATCATATATGCATTCCTCTTTGCCCCCATTCTTGCTACTTTCCCTGCCCATCTCATCCTCCTTGACTTGATCATTCTAATTATACTTGGCGAAGAGTACATGTTGTGAAGTGCTTCATTATGTAGTTTTCTCCAACCTTCCATCAGTTCATTTCTCTTCAGTCCAGATATTCTCATCACCCTGTTCTCAGATACCTGCAGTTTGTGTTTCTTAATGTCAGCAAGCACAATAGATCACTTTAGGTTGCGGTGCAAGGGCTGAGAAGGCCCACCCCTTATACATTCATGCATTCATTCATTCTTAATATTAGAGACCAAGTTTCACACCCATACAGAACCACAGGCAAAGTTATAGTTTTGCATATTCTAACTTTTATATTTCTAGACAGCAGACGAGAAGTCTGCACTGAATGGTAATGAGCATTACCTGAGTGCAATCTCCTATTAATTTCCTCCTGAATCAGATTTTGATTTGTTCTAGTCGTTCCCAAATATGCGAACTGTGCCACATTTTCGAAACATCTGTTAGCTATCTTTATGTCATGATTTTGCCTGCATTCTGGTGTCGAGACAGCAGCATATACTTAGTTTTTCGTAGCTAAAAGTGATTATATTTCTCGTAGCTACAGGTGATTATAACAGTCTCACTAATTTACACACTCTTTAAGTCACTACATCTGCACCACACACAGTGTCATCTGTTGGTTATTCTGTTGTCACTGGTTGTTGCTAGGCAGCGGCTGCTAACAGTGGAGATTCCTCAGTGCCTGTCATGAACTGTCACTGCTCACTGTCAGCTCATGACCCTGACCTTTGACTGACTAACTTCTCTTGTTGTTCCTTGTTAAATAGCCTTGGTGTTGACTGCTCAGAAAACACCACTTCCAACAGTTCCTCTCTTATTGCGCATTGACTCGTTGCTACAGGAATGTGTTTACTGCACCATTGCATATTAGTGACCATTTCTACTCATTCTACTGTTCCGGCTTTCAGTTATCATGTTGCAGTACTGTAATTCATTAATTGTAAACTGTACAGATCAATATTTTGTGAATGGCATGACTGTATATCACTGCAGATGTGTCCAGTTTTGTTGCCACTTACGGTGAAAGCATTCCTTCACCCTGCTGGAGTCCAGCCTTAATTAAAGGTATGTAGTTGCTCTCAAATAAAATTCAGGGCTTCTTTACATTTGTGCCACAGGATAGGGACTAAAATTTGTTGACAATTACTAAGAATTCTATTCTTAATATTTAAGCATGAAATTCTGGACAGAATTCTTGACATTCATTTGCCTTAAAGTGTGTCCATCAGTGTTGGGAGGTCACCAAGATTTGTAAGTTAGTGGTTATACAGTGTAATGATGTAGTTCTGCTCTTTGTCACTGTCGGTAAAAATTCCACCTACCTGATGGCTGTCAGATAGAATGGTCTCATGGATTGGTTCAGCAGTTTTAATATCACATTGTGGTCTTGTCAGATTAGATGCTGAATAGACTGGCAACTTTTTGTGACAGTAGCTTCAGTTATGCCATTTTATGGGATATAGCAGAGAATTATTACATATTCTATGCCCCCACAGGCTTGTAGATTGCATGGCTGACAGGCAATGTTTATGTAACTGTCACGGTGAATATTATGAAAATTCAGGTCATGAGAGATGGGTGGACAGAAATAATACTGTGATATATTGACTCAGCAGTGTCAGTACTGGGCAGTTTGGTGTAGTGGTATAATACTCTTAAGACTTGAATTCAGGAGGTGTTGGTTCAAATCTCAGTTAGGACACCTGCTGTCCTGACTGAGGGTTTTCTCAGTGCTTCTAAGGAAATGTACTTTGACTGGAACATGACTGCTTCCCTCAGAATCTTTTCTAATGCATTGGTTACCAGTCATTCTGCTATTCAGTGGCATATAGGCTGTGTTACCAATGGTGTCATAAGAAGAAAGGTTGATGGTGCTGTATTCGGATGAACAGTTGCACACTTTTTTTTTTCTGGTAAATGTGCGGTTAGAACTGAATGCATATTGCAGTGAAAAGTGACAGAATCCAGTTGTGATCTGAAATTGGTATCTCTACCAACTATGCTTGATCCAAGGAAGATTGCAGAAAACTACATATATCTCTTGTTTGAGGTGAACATGAGAGAGATGTGGAAACTGGGGAGAATATTACTCTTCGAAGTACTGGTTTTTTCATTATTTCTGTATGATTATAGTTTACCATCAGATCAGTTCATGTTAGAGTCATACTATTGGTTGCCATTCACAGGGTAATTCATAAGTCCCTATGGAAACCCCAACAGTAATTTAGAATCACACTACCCTTGTAGCCATGTATTTGGTCTACAGAGTGATTCTAAGTTATTGTTGGTGTTCCTGGAGGTACTTGTGAACTACTCTGTATATGGTTGTTCAAGTCTTTTGTTTCACAATTATTTTCCTGGGAATAGGCTATATGTTTGCTTCTTTACCTTTTAAATTTCATTTGGATACATATCATTTTCCTAATATTTTTAAAAACTATAATTTCTCAAAATTAAACCTCACTGCAGCAGACAGTCTGTATATTGCCATCTATAACAGTGGAAGTATTAATTATATATAGAGGCTTTTTACATGACATTTGTAAGTTTCACATGAATTAACTATCCAGTTCTGTATTTTAATAGGTGAAGAATAGAGTAAATGTAGTTGAATTTGTGTATTGGAATACTTTTTCTGGCAAGTAACATCATCCTGTTCCAGGCTGTTCGCCATTTGCCGTCATCTCAGCAAGAGGAGTATCGTCGTCTTAAGCAGCAGATTGCAGAACTTGAAGAACAGAGGAGACGAAGCCAACAACAGCAGCAGCATCAGCAAGAGCAACAGCAACAAAAACAACTGCCACTGCTGTCACCACCACCACCGCCGTTATCAACAAACATGACCAATTCAGAATCATATTCTCGCCTCTCATCACCCAGTCGAACCGCAGCTTTGAGCAGCAGTAGTAACCATCCACTTAGTATTGCGCATACAAACACAACTGATGGAAAGAAAGGAGCGCCACAGAGCAGTGTCACATCTGCAGAGCGTGGGAGTGATTTAGGGAAGATTTTGAGAATGCAGAGTGCTCAGAACAAAAGACCCAGCAATTCAGTAATTTTGAAAGAAGCAGCAAGTGATAAGGGGATAGCTAATGCTGCCTCCCCAGCTCCTGTAATATCAGAAGAAGAGCAAGGAGAAACCTTAGAGAAAGCCAATGACTTGACCGATGTAGTAAGTCAGGAGGAGGAATCAGTGATGGAGTCAAAAGATGGTGTTTTTGAAGTGCATCACGTTAGCATGCTATCTTCATGTCAACATGATTGCTCCTGCAACAGCGATGAGTCACTGGAACAGAAGGAAGCAAAATTAGCAGAAATTGAGCATCAGCTTCTGTCAAAAAGGTAAGCACAGAATTTACTTCTGTCCTGTAAGTGCTACACGCCTCACCCATTTCATCATCCTCGATTTGATTGTCCTAATAATATTTGGTAAGGAGTACAACTTATGGAGCTGTGTGTTGTGAAGTTTTCTCCAGCCTTTTGTTACTTCCTTTGTGGTTCATGTATGCTCCTTGACCCAGTTTTTATAGTGATTGGCTACAGGCTGGATGGCCAGGGTATGATTCCCAGCAGGGGAAAGAATTTTCTCTGCTCCACAGCATCCAGCCTGGCTCTTCAGCCCAGTATAGAGGCAGAGGCATGAAGCTGACCACTCCATCTAGTGCCAAGGTCAAGAATGACAAAGCTATACCTCCACTCCTCAACCCATCATCATGGCTAAGTGGTCAATTATTTAAGCACAGGAATAACTTTACCTTTACCCTGTTCTCAAATGCTCAGCCATAGTTCATCCTGCAATGTGAAAGACAGTATTTCACACTGATACAAAGCAGCAGGAAATATGGTAGGTTTGTATATTTTAATCTTCACATTTTTGTGGAATAGACAGGAAGACAAAAGGTTCTGAACTGAATGATAGCAAGCTCTAATTTCTTCATGAATGCAGTTTTGATTTTGTTAGTATTGTTTTGAAATAATTTCTAGTCGGTTATTAGAGACAAAACTGCCAGTATCGAGTCTGTATAGCATCTGTGTAAATATTTCAATCAGCTTAATACATAACTTGTTACAGTCCCCTTGTTATGACATCACAAATCACGCCTACAGAACTTTTGTCTTCTTGATAAAAATTAAAAAAAAAAGATCATCCGGTTGACTGTTTGAGGAGGACATTATCAGTGCATGCAGATTAATAACATACTGGCAATTGGCTGTGATAACAGTAAGGTCTGTTTAGGTCAGGTTGGTTGCAGTGTTCCCATAGCAGTTGAATGACTTTGCCTGTAGTCACTTGGTTCCAGTAACTTCCTTTTCCATTGTGACTGCAGCCTTAGGATTTCACTCTTTTCTGCCATGAAAAGAGAGGCAGCACATTTTCCAGAATGTGACATATTTGCCAGTCTACACAGCATCACATTGCAGAAGACTTGTGGGATTGTTGATGTTCTAAATGACAACCACGTTGAACTGTAACAATTGTATATATTAAATTGTATAAATTGAATGTACAGAATAGCTGCGAATCTATGTGGAATGTTGGCTGGTCCTCAGAAGGGCAGTTTGTTCCACTGCGAGTGAGCTGGCAGAATTTGCTCCTTCGTAGTAGGCTAAGTCTTACGGCCCTTCACCTGGCCTGTCTGGCCAGTGATGTAGTGCTGCATGCGCCGGTAGAAGCAGCTGCCTATGGTGTGGTTGCAGGAGTTGCGGAAGCTGCATTAGTTGCCTGGTCGCAGAGCGTGGTTGCTGGAGACTTGCGGAAACTACGTCAGTTGCCTGGTTGCAGTGAAGAGCTGATGACTGATCGCTCTAAACTGAATGTGATCACTGATGATTGCGAGCTTTGGGCTCTGCCTTGTATACCATGCTTGATGGGCGGAGCGAAACTTGCAATTGCAATTGTGAGCGCTGATTGGCTAGCGCGCACCGTGATGTAAAAGTGGGCTGGACAGCGAGTGTTGTGTAAATACGAGTGTTGGCAGCAATGTGATTGGTTAGTGCACGTGATGATCTACAGGTGGGTTGGACATCGAGTGCTGTATAAATATGAGTGTTGTCAGCAATGTGTGGCAATATGATATTGACCTAGGAGTGGGTGTTTGTTAGACCCGTTAAACCGCATATGTGGGATGTTCCCACAACTGTAATCTTCATACTCCTAGGACCTCAGATCTCTTTTTGCTTAATTCACCTTTATTGTTTATGTTGCTCTGTTAGAAATGTAAGAGAAAGAGGTGAGATGGGGAGAGAAGGAGCGCATGGAAGTTTAGTATTCATAATGGCTCTTCTTGAGACAACTGTTGTGCTGTGTAAAAAGGTAAAAGTAAAGTTGTCCCTGTGCTTAACTAATTAAACACTCTCCCATCAAGGCCTCTGGAGGAGTGGCTCTATAGGTCTATGTCTTCTTGACCTTGGCACTAGCCAGAGGTGACTGGTCAGCTTCATGCCCTGGCCACCTTACCCCCAGCAAAAGAGCCCCCAGTACCCATTGGATAGGAGGTTGGGTGGACCCCAGAGCCGGTCTGGATCACGTGGGGAGAAAAAATTCTTGACCCTACCGGGACTCAAACTCTGACCCCTAGGTCGTCCAGCCTGTAGCCAGTCACTGTACCGACTACGCTATTCCGTCCCAACTCATGTTGTGCTGTGTAGTCTCTTGGAAGTCAACTGATGTTTCAGGGGAATATGTCACCTCAGCATGGTGCTTGCTTCATTCGTTTTTTTCCCCCCTCAGCTTATTCTTTGACCCTGATGAAGGAGACAACATGTTCTTCCAAAACGTCAGTTGACTTTCAGTGAACTCATACCATTATATCCCAAAAGACAGAACTCTCATGACTATCAGTGTGAGAACCTCAAGTCCTCTGTTGTGTTGTTGTAAGTTCATCTCTTGTGCAATATGGAAGGCTTCATTTGTCAAATTTGATTTCATTCAGGTATGAGGTGCTGGATGAGTTGACAAATATGACAACACTTCTGTGCCAAATAGAAAGGGAACGAGCCACAGAAGAAGAATGTTTGAAAGACCTGCATCGTATCCGTGGAGAACTTCTCCGAGTCGAAGAACGACTTTCTCAGCAGAAGGAATTGCTGTCACATATGCGCAGTGACATGGCAAAATCCCACCGGCTTGTGGCTCAAGGACGAGCAGAGTGTATTGGCCTGTCTAAAACTTGTCTGTCATTAGGAATTGGCGTGAAAGGTCATTCCTATAAGTAAGTACAGAAGTCCATTTGTTTATTAAAGGTTACTTTGTGATGTAACTTAAGCGAGATCTAGCATATTCATATAGATTCACTGGGTTCTGAAGTTGGTATTATGAGTGAAATAGGTTATATATTTTCCCTCCTGTGCACGTCAGAAAGCTAAGAATTCTGAATGTTACATTACAGAATTTATGTTTTTGGGGGGGGGGGATTTATGGAATATTCACATTATAAACCACCTATCTTATGCAGATTTTATATGTTTAAAAGATCTGTATAGTTACAAACTACTACTGAAACCATAGGAGTACAACAGTTAAAAAGATAAAGATATTTCACTGACCCTTTCTAATTACAGTAAACTGATGGTTATCTGGTATCCAAGCATCTGGAATTCTCATGCAGTTGGTTAATTTCCAAGAAAAATGTATTACTTCTTTATAGTCACTTCAAAAGTAAAGTTGCAGTGCACATATATTCACCTGCCATGCGGTAGTTCTCCCACCAACCACTGCAGCGCTGTTCGTCCTTCTTTGTGCAGGTGCCATTATAATTATAGTGATGCGCAGATACAGTAATGGTTGGTTGAATTTGTGATCACATTGCAGTATATCCAAAATATTGTGCTTGTCAGCCTGCTGTACCCCCTAAGAAGACACCCACATGTGGATGTAGCAGAGTATCTCATTGACCATTATGTAGGTTGAATTAAATGCAATGCTTCCAATTTTATGACTTTCCTTGACACGCTACAAATTGTTACATGTTCTGTAGGATCATACACAGATCTGTGTGTTAAACAGTGAAGTAGATGAACATGTAATAAAAGAGCCCATTTCAGGAATTGTTCTCGTGTTTCATTTATTAAAATATCCTCATTAAAAGAAAAATAATTGAGATGGAGGAATTATTTTTCATTCAACCCTCGCACAAATACAGAGGTGGGTTTTGGCAGCTGCCTGAGCATGGAGAAGGATGGGAAGGCTGCCAAGTAATAGTGAATTTGAAAAGAACCCAACCCTTTGGGATTGCATAGTCGGTATAGCAACTGTGCTACAGGCTGGACAACTGAGGGGTTGGAGTTCAAGTCCCGGTATGGTCAAGAATTTTCTTCTCTCTATGTTGTCCAAATGGGCTCTGGGGTCCACCCAACCTCCTGTCCAGTGGGTACCGAAGCTTTTTCATCTGGGGTAAAGTGACCGAGGCATGAAGCTGACCACTCACCTCTATCTAGTGACAAGGTCAAAAAAATGTGGATCTATACATCCACTCTGCAATATGCCTTCTTGGCGTAGTGCTTAATTAGTTAAACACAGGGACAACTTTACCTTGTATCAAACCTTTCTTGTACTCCACCCACACTCTCCATCCTTTGGCCTCCCTCCCTCTCTATGACATAGCCTTATAGAGGATGTAATGTTGAAATATGATGGCTTGTACTTGACCCTGAAACCTCTCCAAGGAATTCCTCTATGACCTTGCCAGATTTGGTTGAAGTATGTGCAACAGTCTGGGAATTTGTAAATGAGAGACAGGTACACACACTGCTTTATGTACATGTAGATTTCTGTTACAAGGATCAGTCCTTGAGAAATCTGATAATGGTTTGTTTATACAGAATGCCTGCAGCTGATTTAAGCACATATATTTGTATTGTTGCTTATTGTGTTCTCATTTTCAGCCATATATATGCATTTATGTATGAAGTGTTCTATAGCCTAAATACTATTTATATTTTCCACATAAACTGATTGTAATGTATAGTTGCATAACTGAGTGTGCTTCTTATTGATTGATTGATTGATTTGTGTTGTATCAGAGTGCCAGCAGGAGGTGCAGAGCTAATGAACCGTAAACTGCAGCAGGTTGCAGCTCAGACGCGGCGGATGTCCAGAAAGAAAGAACATTCGGATAACAGTGATGAGAATCGATGTGGAAGTGATATGCCATCCTTTCTTACTTTACAAGTACCAGTACAGGATAAGAAAGAACTGAGGACAGCTTGCATTGCAGTTGAGAGTAGTGAAGATAATTCTAAAGCGTGTTCTTCCTCTACAATGGATGTGAACGCAGAAAGTATCTCACTCATCCAGTCTACTGAAAATGGCAGCATGTTGTTTTCCAATAGTCACATTTCACAAAGTAAATCTGCAAATTCATCAGACACGCTGGATTGCAAGTTAACAGAGCTGCCCTCCAAACCATCAGTACAGTCGCCATTAAGTGAAATGAGTGAAACAGGTACAAGCGTAGCTGCAAAGTTGGACAGCTGTGTTCAGGTGGAAAGTGATGATGTGGAAGTTGACAGGAGTCAGCCTGCTGTGACTGATGTTGAACGAATGGGTACAGATGTTCTAGGGGCATCTGACATGAAGATGGTGGGAATTGTTGGCAACTCAAAAGAGACAGTGTTGCGACACTTGTCCGAGTACAGGTCACCTCTGGAGCATTTGTATTCAGAAAGGTTGGTGCAACATAATTATCGCTTGTGTGTCGAGTAAAGTTGAGCTACACGGCTTTTGTTGATTCTTTGGTTGTGGCTGCTGTTTTTGTTGTTGTTATTGAAGTGTGCTTAATCTTATGTACAAAAACCACACATTCCTAAGGGTGTGACTGCATTTAGATGTTTAAAAAATTCGTGTTTAATGGTGTAGCCATGCTGTCAGCCTTCTATGGCTGACCTTCCTGAATGTGAAACCTCTGTATCTGCAGTCATTTCTCAATAGGGTAATTAATAGTTTGGTAGAACTAGGATTTATCTTGGAATATTGCATGTAGAAACTCAGTGGATGCAGTGTAGGTAAAGGAATTACACAGCTCAGGACAATGTGAATCAAAACAGCCACTAACAGTTCAATTCCTATTTTATAGACACAGTCAATTTATTAAATTCACTGGCACTTCATGAATGACAATATGGCATTTCTGCAGTTATCACACTTCAATGTTCAGTTTTTTCATAACTGCAATAGCTTAACACACACGGTTTAACTTTACCCAGAGTACAGACATTAGTGGTATGGGTTGTACAAGTACAGTAGTGGTCATAAACTAGCGGAAGTGCAATTAACACTCAAAGTATAAGCCGAAGAAATTCATGGAGAAGTCTGTGCGGGAGAAGAACTAGAACTGGAAATGCCCTTGCCACCAAGAACACTGACTTAAATAAACTTCCTTGTCAGGACTTGCCTAAATCTTGGTTCAAGTAAGAATCTGTAGTTTGGTGTCTGCACACCCAAAATTTTTATTACCGGCTGGTATATCACCACAGTCTCTGTCCATATCTGTGACCCGTCTATTCATGAGACTTAGAAATCTGGCTTAAAATGTCCTGCTTCTGCTAACCTCTACATTATCAGATATCCTTTGTTAGGTCACCCTTTATTGCCGGACATGAGCTTGTATCCTTTGAGAGGTGCCTCCTGCTATCCCCAGAATATGTGTGTCAGTCTTTTTCAGTTAATTTGTTACTACTATTTTGTAAACACTGTTCAATTTGCTAACTTCTCGTATCTCATTTGTGAGATGTCCCCTTAGTACCTGAGACTTTGAGTTAACTTGTTAACTTTTTATGTTTTGTAAAGTGAGAACACTTCCCCCCTTCAGTTGTCTTCTGAAATTTTTTGTTTCACTTGTGAATTTCTAAATGTCCTTAGTCACATTACCCATTATCCATACATGATGTGCATGATGTTTGTTTTATGTTTCTGTTGTTTTTGTAGCCAGGTCCTGGCAGCATTTCTTTTGTGTTTTGTCTGATACATATGCAGGCAGTTTATTTACCTTTCTTCAGTGGAGAAGAATGGCCATATCTGATTTGTATTAGTAATGCATTTTTGACACTCATTTCAGGAATAATGAAAACGGAATATCTGAAAGACAAAACTGATGAGCTTGCAATGAACAGTAAGAACAAGAACATTAGAGACCTGTATAGAGGAATAAATGACTTTAAGAGGGGTTACCAACCTAGCGGTAACTTACTGAAGGATGAGAATGGTGATCTGCTTGCAGATTCCCACAACATTTTGAATTGGTGGAGGAACTACTTGTCTCAGTTATTGAATGTACATAGGGTCAGTGATGTTAGGCAGACAGAAATCCATACAGCTGAGCCGTTTGTACCTGATCCTAGCCCTTTTGAGGCTGAAAGTGCTATTGCAAAATTGAAAAGGTATAAATCACCAGGTAGTGTTCAGATTCTGGCAGAGTTTATTCAAGCAAGGGGCAGAATATTGCATTCTAAGATCCAGAAGCTAATTACTTCTGTTTGGTATAAGGGAAAATTGACTGATCAGTGGAAGGAGTCTATTATTGTACCAGTTCACAAGAAGGGTGATAAAACTGACTGTGGTAATTATCGGGGGATATCACTGCTATCAACTTCATACAAAATTGTATCCAATATTCTTCTCTCAAGGTTAAGTCCATATATAGATGAAATTATTGGGAATCATCAGTGTGGGTTTCAATGTAACAGATCAACTACTGATTGGATCTTTGGCATTTGTCAGATATTGGAGAAAAATGGGAGTCCAATCAGCTAGCTATTCATAGATTTCAAGAAAGCCTATGATTCAGTTAGGAGGGAAGTATTGTACAGTATTCTGATAGATAAAAAGCGTTAATGCCATCTGGCTGTATGTGCAGTTCAGTAGTTCCTGGGCAATTGGATAGATTTTGTTCATGTTCATTATTCAAGAATTCGTCCATCATAGGTCAATGCCCCTTGAACATGATCATTCGAGTTCCAATAACAGGAGCTCCCCTAACCATATGAGTCTTATTGAAAATGGCTGTAATAATTTTCATAAAATTTTTGCAATTTATGAAAATCATTTTCCAAAATATATGTAAAATGTTTTCATCCTGTGTTTTCTTTGCTTTTAGAGGCAAGTCGGAGGCTGGAAGCGAGTGGTGTGGCCCACTGGATCCGCTCGCCATTCTCTGCCCCTATGAGCTGATGGGCAGATGCCAGGATGAGGACTGTAGTTACCAACATCCATCAAAAAGCACCGTGACATGACATCTGAGGACAGACGTACTGAGCTTGGTTGCAAATGTAACATGCTTCTTGACATTTTAAAAATGCCACCATTGGACAGTTGCAGTCTTGTAAGTCTGTCTGTAGACACTAGACTCTTTCTATAAATGTTACTATTATTTATATGAGGATTTATTTCTGTGACATAGTAGGTTCTGTGGCGTATATGTTTTTCTTTCTGCGGAATTATTAATTTAGTACCATATATGGCCCTGAGGTCAACTGAGCCTCTAACAGAAATGAGTACCAGGAATATTCTTGGAGATAAAGGGCCGCCGGCACGTAAGGCTGACAACCTGACTGCCATCTATGAGCCGATTGTCTAGAAAATGTGGGAACCTCAACATCTCACAATCCTATGGGCCTCCACAGCCTGTTACAGGGATAGCTTTACTTTTACTTTACTTTTACATGTATATACACATACTATGTATTTTCTGTTAGTTGGTGTGCATATATATACATTACTCTCCATTGTTTGAAGTTTCTTTATTAACATAAAATACTGCAGTTAAGGTCATTATTGCAGATGCTCTGTTTACTTTAAATTAAATATAGCCAGTACTATTTAGTTATTTTATTAATGAATAATATGCACCATTCATATGAAGCTTGCAGTGAGACATTAACTTCTTATATTAGACTTGTCACTTGTAGGCCAGTTAGATATTATTTATGTAAATATACCATGTACATATTATCTGGAAATCTGTGATACCAGTTTTTAAAAAATTTTGTGTTAGACATCTGTTTTTCCAGAGACCTACTGGAACTGTGACGCAGATTGGAGTGGATGATGATGATAAGGTAACTAAACCATGGAATGGTATTTTATTAGGTTGAAATATTAGGAAGTTAAGTAATATAAATACAAATGAAGATGTTTAATGCTGTCTTATTTGCTTTAAAATGTTGGATTCTTTAAAGGTGCATTCCCTTTTGAAAAAAAAACTACAGTTCTTTGTAATTTGAATAGTCTTCTTTGGATTCTGCTTCTGCTCATTATGAGCTAAAACCTGTGATTATTATATAATGCAGGAGTGAAGTGCTGGTGGTGGTTTCAATATTTCAATATCAGTTTAGCTGCTGAGTTGGGGTAGTGACAGGCTACATGCTGAATGGCCGGCGTTTGATTCTTGGCAGGACCAGGATTACTCCACAGGATCCAGACTTGTTCTGAGGCCCACCCAGCCTCCTATGCAATGGGTACCAGGGGCTCTTTCCCCAGTGGTGAAGCATCCGAGGTGTGAAGCTGACCATTTAACCGACATCTGGTGCTGAAGTCAAGGATGATGGAGCTATACGTCCACTCCCCCATATGTCATCATGGTGTGGTGCTTCATTAATTAAGTACAGGAACAGCTTTACCTATTCTTTTTTTAAGCTGCTAATTTAACGTGTAAATACTGAAATATGTTCTTTATTTCCAGCTTGTATGAAGTGTATCACATTACAGTTTTGATTCATTTCTAATGCTGTCTTTTCTTTAAGTGTTACTATCTTCAGAGAAATGTTATGTGTTCTTGTAATCTGAAGACAAGAAAGAAACATTTTACTTTATGAAGTAACTGATAAACTGCTGTTCTTTTGAATAATGCAGTCATCTTGTCAACTGCCATATACAGTGGAACACTCATTTGTTCCTTGATTTAAGGTCCTTCTCATTTAATGCTGTGTCAGTAATCTCAGTGTTAAATTTCCTCCATATAAGATTTCCCTCACTTTAGTGCATCTTCAGAGACACCTAACTTTGGGGTTTACAGTATATATTTCAGAAAGTATAGAATTTAGAAGGATAATTATTTGTCTGATCGTACACATTTTCTTAGACCAGAGCAGTTTTGTGTGGTGGTCTGTAATTGGCTAAAGATTGTTGAGCCTTCCTGGTACACATAATTCATTTTTGATACCACCCTTTGTGCGTGTTAATGAGGTATGTGCACTTACAGAAGAATACATGATTTCTTCTAACTTCTGTTGCATTGAATTGTGAAGCTGTGTCATATGTAGCATCACGCTCATTCTGGAATGTGTATGATGGATAGGCAGCCATCATAACAGTGAAATCCCCTATTTAACCCTTCCGCAACGGATAGTATTTAAATCTTTTCCTACCGCCAAACCGACGGTGTATTTAATTATTAAACAGAAAAATGCACTTATCCATGAAAAATTTAGTAACTCTCGCAAAAATGGGTATATTGAGATAAAATTTTCACAGAAATATTCATAATGAAACGAAGAACAAACCTATATATATATTGTTTAATATAATTATGATAAATAATATTTTTTTACTCACTCGAACTGCTAAAAGTTGAGTTTGGTGTGGTAATCCTGAAAACACTGGNACTGGTCAATTACATAGCCCAACATCACAATCACTGTACCAGTACACGGTTTCTTTTCTTCTTTTGTTTTTTGTACACACTACACATCGCCTTTGTGGTCTAGCCTTTTTTCCTGATGGGGGAATTTTATTAATAAAATGTCTTTCACGAAGCCGGGGGATGGTGTTATCTGATGAA